CCGAACCATATTGTCGAGACCACACCTGCGCAAAGACGATCTCACAGCAGCGCTGATCGCATCACTTACGAAGGGTAGGCAAAATGGTACCTTCTCCCAACCCTCGGTCACAGGACTTTGTTGGCTCCTAGTGGGTGGTCCAGGGGGCATTTGCCTTTTGGGGGTAGCCATTGGAGAGGGTTATTTTCCGAGCTAACTCCAGGGACTCTTCTCTTTCTTCTCACCTGAGACCATTTTGGCTGTCCTGAACATGTTCCTGTTGATAGCCCGTTCGGTCACGCCGACCGAAAATGGACTAAGATGTTCTTGCTGGTGGGTTTTCGGTACCACTTGGTCCGATAGAACCCGCGCTCAAGCTGGATCTGCACGTTGAGGAATGAGAGCCAACTATTAGAAGGCTTCTCCCTCGTAAACCGAATATTCTCAGCTTGGCTATTAAGGAGGTCAAAGCACGAGTCCATTTCCCTCTCCGTGGTGCAGACGATGAGACAGTCGTCTATGTAGCGTTTGTACAAGATGGGTCGGCGATCCAGTAACGGTTGTTCTATCTTGGACATGTAGGCAATCGCTAGGACTGGTGCCAGCCGCTGACCCATGGCCAAACCTCTGAGCTGCCTGTAGTATTGACCGGCCCACCTAAAAATGGAACAATCGAGACACTCTTTAACAAGTGTCATTATGTGGGCTGTCGACAGGCCATACATGTTGATCGACGCCCCGTGCTCACTAAGGAGTTCATAGGTGGCCTGCATGGCTCCTTCGTTTGACACGTTTGTGTAGAGGGATGTTACGTCAAACGATTCCATCACATGGTTCCGTCTGAACCTGGCCTCCCGCAACGAGTCGAGCAAATGGGCAGTATTACTGAGGTGGGCAGGGATGAATTGCAGCAGCTGCACCAGCACAAGGTTCAACAGCCATGAAATCCTGTCAGTGGGACCTCCTACCCCACTTATTATCGGGCGCACGTGGAAATCTGAGGGATTAGTTGAGGACAGGGTGGTCTGCGAGAGCTTGTGTGTTTTGATGAGAACATAGAGAACTGGACAGGTTGGTAGATCACATTTCAGTCGTGTGCCCACTGTCCTCGGGAGCTCTGCAGCTCGCACTATGTCAATCCACACCCTGTTTAGTTTCCGGTATTGCCTCTTGAACTCCTCCTCGGATGATGGACGGTAGAGACTTTCATCTTGGAGGTGCGATCTTGTTATGGCCATATCGAAGATCTCGGGGCAATACGACAAACTCACCTCCCTTATCGCTGACAGATATTTTTATGCGACCAGAGAGAGTGAGATCCCTCAATTCTTTCAGTCCCTGTCTTTGCGCCGTCGTGAGGTTGGAGGGCAACCGTTTTGGGCTTCCGCGAGTAATTATAGAAAAAACTGAAGTCGCGAACAGCCGGAATTTCACATCCACTGAAGGATTGGGGTCCTGTGGTTTGAAGAAAAGAGAAGGGAAAGGAATTGTAGGGAGACCCGACCGAGTAGCAGATTGTTGACCCTGTTCTCGGCCATTTGAGTGTAGGCTGTCCTGAAGAGTTTGTAGGGCCCCTAGGATTTTTCGCGATACCGTATGACTTATTGATTGGCTCGGTGCAAAACTAGGACCGAGGTCTAGAACGGAAAGCGCGTTGTCGGAAAGACTTACGCCGCCAATCACAGTGACTCTAGGTGGAACAGATCCCGTTGCTTCCCCGTGGTCAGTCTGTGGGTGGTCCAAACAAGCGGAGGTGGTGCGCTGTGGTCGCGATAAATGACTAGATTTACTTTATTTAATTTACTCCGCTAGATTTACTAGTCCACTGAATTTAACCTGAAGTTTTACTTTGACCTTCGAACGAGAAGAGAACTTCAAAGCATGCCAAGATCCATCGAGGGTCGAACGTGGACACTTAAGATGAAAGTGTTCTGTATGATGTTTTTTGCTATTCTATCGCTGGAGAGACATTTGACGGCAATAGGTTTGTAACTGAACACCACTGTTCACAATACACAGTCGGGATCTGCCGTCGACGGTAGGTCATATGAGACAGAAATAGCTTTCAGTTCCACCGCCTTTTCTTTCACGTATTCTACAGAGGATCTTTAAGCAAAGATTTTGACTGGAACATCACACACCCTCGGTATTGCAAAATTTATGCAGAAAATATTTTGGACGACATTCCAATCTATGTTAATGAATCACGTTATAGAGCGTGTCATTTACCATGCTATCTAAATTACTTTATCCATGACAATGATACGCACTTGATTATTGTATTGGATTTGTGGAAAATTTACATATGTAAATACAGCAATGTTGGTTGAATTATAATGTAAGGACGATTCCAAAAGGCTCTCATGGAATACATTAAAGAAGGAAAGCGAGAGTATTGCTGAAGTGCTTCCCTGTATAAAATGGCGAGCAGCAGCTGAAGAATTAGTTCCTTTCCCCGATTTCCCTTGTTTTAGCCTGCAGTCTTTTCAGTTTGTAAGATGCAAGCTTTTCAGGAACAGCATGAGAATTCTGGCACTCGTCCTTCTTCTGGTATGTTGAATTTTATGAGATTGTTCCTCTCTCTATAGAATCTGTGAGTGTTCTTTCAGTCGTTCCCTGCATGAATGAAACAGATTTTCGTTTTTTCGTGGTAGGTGAAAATGCAACGACGTGGGAGCGCAGCACAAACGGAGAAATTTGTAACTGAAGTTGTGGTGATAGAAAAAACTTCGCGGAAAAAGTCAACATTACATTGACACTCGTACGAGAACGAAAATCAACTTGTGCGTCCATGTGGAAAAAAAGGGCCTCCAAACTCCTTCCGTAGGCTCTACTCTTTCCTGAAAATATCTTTGGGACCTTCGAATGAACTACTTCTCAAGGTCCCCCTACTTATAATGATGGTGCACTCTGTTGAATATAGAGTGTACAACTGAAAGTAAACCTCGTTCCCTGCATGACGTGTTAATGTCGACAAGCGATCGAGAATCACCTCCGTCGCTTGAAAAGTTCTCGAAAGCGGAGATTTGTTAGGCAAGTTGTTGCACGTTTTCCTACCCACTTGATCTTTTCGGCCGTTTTACTTCATTATGTTCATTGCTATGCGTTTTTCGTAGCTTGATGGAGGTTTTTTCAGGTATGTGCGATGTTTGCGCATGGATTGGCTGCAAAGAAAGACGCTAAGCCGGCCGCAGCTCCAGCGAAAAAAGCCGCACCGAAGGCGGCCGCACCACCCCCGAAGGCCGCACCGAAGAAAGCCGCAGCTCCAGCAAAACAAGCACCGAAAAAGAAGGCCTAACTTGAAAGCAGAATATTTGCTTCCCACGAATAAACTTGCTTGCGTGTATACGTCGAAGGTTTGCAAGTGAATCACCCTTTGCGTACTGCAATGCGTATAGGCATATTGCGGTACCTGAATACAACGCTTTTGATGCTCAACACAATGTTCTCCTTAATTCATCCTGTGGAGCTTAAGTGCATGGCTGAGCTGAGTACCCAGCCTTCATTATCATCCACCATGCCTGCTAAGAAGCAATTTCGAAGTGTGCAAAAAATAAAATTATAGCAGTTCCGTGCATTCCAATCGTCCTGTTAGACTCGTGTCTCACTCATTGCGAAATGTTTCTACTACATCTGACTGATTTATTGCACGTGACTACAGTCAGCTGCGTCAGGGACACTTTCAAAAATGGTTGAAAAGTGATGTCATTCAATAGCTTAATGTGAAGACTTCTATGCTCTAAAATCTTGCACAAAATCTTGCGTGCGTGCCTGGTGCATGTTTCGGAGGAAAGAGTGAACAGTGAATTGAAAAAACCTGGAAGTGCCGTGATTCTATACATAATAATTCAATAAAATTGGGGCCTGACGTCAAACCTTTGTATTATAAAAAGAGGACGAATTTCGGCACACAGTCCCGCTTCGCTGTTGGAGTGGTTCAAACAATTGCAGGCCGCACCAATGGAATGCTGCAACTGTCACGAGGGAATTCAATGGTCATATTTTTTAATTAGTAGCGCTGGCCTGGCTCCCAGTCCTGAAAGTGTCATAACCGCGCGAGTGACTCGCTCAAGTCGTGAAGCAGAAATGTAGCCTGAAAGGTAAGTTCATTCTCGGGAAAAAAAAAGCAAAGGGTGCGTTGGTGACTGCGTAAAACACTTGGATTCTATGCATTGTGTTATGATGAACTGGTGATTCATCAACATGTTTCCTGAGGAGATAATCTCGGAACGAGTGATAGGGTCCGCGCGAGAATTTGTGCAATCGCTCAGCTAACGTGTAGGATTATAGGAAATGAAGTGCAGCTGAAAAAAAGTTTCGTCTAGGAAAATTATAAGCTGGAAAAACGAAACAACGAGGAAATAATTTGCTCCTTTAAGCGCTCCTTCTACTTTTTTTAAATGGATGGATCACGTCCAAAAACTTCCAATCCCCTCCTTAACAGCAGTGGGCACGATTGTATGGTTCCCTACAGAAAACGGAGTAGAGGCACTCTGTAGCACGACAGTGGGGCAAAGACTCGATGAAACGGTACAAAACGTCAGAACTGGGCTATTATTACTCGTTCCAATTAGGAAGTGTGCGAGTGTAGTACGCCTAAGATTATCATCGGTGGGCAAAGGATAATCTAAAGTAAATTAGTTTGACGCATCGATTATTCGCGGGAATCAAGTGGAAAAAATTCAAAAAACAAAAGTCCAATGTACGAAACGTTCCTTTCTTGCGAGAAAACATTTCACTGTTTCGGAGAGATATTCTTAAGAATGATTTACCTCAACAGAAAGAATTTTTGAAGGGAAAAAAGCGCCACTGGGCCGCCCATCATGGGTGAAAACAGCTGGTACGACTATGACCGATGGCTGCTTGGCGCGACCATTTGTGGAAGTGTCGTTGTTGCAGGGAGTACCGCTTGGCATATTAAGCCTTGTTGTAATGCTTGGGGAACGTTTTTCGTTGTAAAAAAAAAAACGTCACGCAAGCTCCCTCAGTGGCGCACAATTCTTTGGTTATCGGCTGTGCATGATCTATGGCTCTTTTGAAGTAAGCTATGAATTTCTGGTCAAATCATACAGACAGACCAACAAACATTCAAACACACACCAACAGCAACCTTTAGAGGATTACATACAGTAGGATAAAATCACGGCACTTCCAGGTTTTTTCAATTCACTGTTCACTCTTTCCTCCGAAACATGCACCAGGCACGCACGCAAGATTTTGTGCAAGATTTCAGAGCATAGAAGTCTTCACATTAAGCTATTGAATGACATCACTTTTCAACCATTTTTGAAAGTGTCCCTGACGCAGCTGACTGTAGTCACGTGCAATAAATCAGTCAGATGTAGTAGAAACATTTCGCAATGAGTGCGACACGAGTCTAACAGGACGATGGAATGCACGGAACTGCTATAATTTTATTTTTTGCACACTTCGAAATTGCTTCTTAGCAGGCATGGTGGATGATAATAAAGGCTGGGTACTCAGCTCAGCCATGCACTTAAAGCTCCACAGGATGAATTAAGGAGAACATTGTGTTGAGCATCAAAAGCGTTGTATTCAGGTACCGCAATATGCCTATACGCATTGCAGTACGCAAAGGGTGATTCACTTGCAAACCTTCGACGTATACACGCAAGCAAGTTTATTCGTGGGAAGCAAATATTCTGCTTTCAAGTTAGGCCTTCTTTTTCGGTGCTTGTTTTGCTGGAGCTGCGGCTTTCTTCGGTGCGGCCTTCGGGGGTGGTGCGGCCGCCTTCGGTGCGGCTTTTTTCGCTGGAGCTGCGGCTGGCTTAGCGTCTTTCTTTGCAGCCAATCCATGCGCAAACATCGCACATACCTGAAAAAACCTCCATCAAGCTACGAAAAACGCATAGCAATGAACATAATGAAGTAAAACGGCCGAAAAGATCAGGTAGGTAGGAAAACGTGCAACAACTTGCCTAACAAATCTCCGCTTTCGAGAACTTTTCAAGCGACGGAGGTGATTCTCGATCGCTTGTCGACATTAACACGTCATGCAGGGAACGAGGTTTACTTTCAGTTGTACACTCTATATTCAACAGAGTGCACCATCATTATAAGTAGGGGGTCCCTGAGAAGTAGTTCATTCGAAAGGTCCCAAAGATATTTTCAGGAAAGAGTAGAGCCTACGGAAGGAGTTTGGAGGCCCTTTTTTTCCACATGGACGCACAAGTTGATTTTCGTTCTCGTACGAGTGTCAATGTAATGTTGACTTTTTCCGCGAAGTTTTTTTTCTATCACCACAACTTCAGAGTTACAAATTTCTCCGTTTGTGCTGCGCTCCCACGTCGTTGCATTTTCACCTACCACGAAAAAACGAAAATCTGTTTCATTCATGCAGGGAACGACTGAAAGAACACTCACAGATTCTATAGAGAGAGGAACAATCTCATAAAATTCAACATACCAGAAGAAGGACGAGTGCCAGAATTCTCATGCTGTTCCTGAAAAGCTTGCATCTTACAAACTGAAAAGACTGCAGGCTAAAACAAGGGAAATCGGGGAAAGGAAACTAATTCTTCAGCTGCTGCTCGCCATTTTATACAGGGAAGCACATCAGCAATACTCTCGCTTTCCTTCTTTAATGTATTCCATGAGAGCCTTTTGGAATCGTCCTTACATTATAATTCAACCAACATTGCTGTATTTACATATGTAAATTTTCCGCAAATCCAATACAATAATCAAGTGCGTATCATTGTCATGGATAAAGTAATTTAGATAGCATGGTAAATGACACGCTCTATAACGTGATTCATTAACATAGATTGGAATGTCGTCCAAAATATTTTCTGCATAAATTTTGCAATACCGAGGGTGTGTGATGTTCCAGTCAAAATCTTTGCTTAAAGATCCTCTGTAGAATACGTGAAAGAAAAGGCGGTGGAACTGAAAGCTATTTCTGTCTCATATGACCTACCGTCGACGGCAGATCCCGACTGTGTATTGTGAACAGTGGTGTTCAGTTACAAACCTATTGCCGTCAAATGTCTCTCCAGCGATAGAATAGCAAAAAACATCATACAGAACACTTTCATCTTAAGTGTCCACGTTCGACCCTCGATGGATCTTGGCATGCTTTGAAGTTCTCTTCTCGTTCGAAGGTCAAAGTAAAACTTCAGGTTAAATTCAGTGGACTAGTAAATCTAGCGGAGTAAATTAAATAAAGTAAATCTATTTATCGCGACCACAGCGCACCACCTCCGCTTGTTTGGACCACCCACAGACTGACCACGGGGAAGCAACGGGATCTGTTCCACCTAGAGTCACTGTGATTGGCGGCGTAAGTCTTTCCGACAACGCGCTTTCCGTTCTAGACCTCGGTCCTAGTTTTGCACCGAGCCAATCAATAAGTCATACGGTATCGCGAAAATCCTAGGGGCCCTACAAACTCTTCAGGACAGCCTACGCCTCAGGTCAAATGGCGAGAACAGGGTCAACAATCTGCTACTCGGTCGGGTCTCCCTACAATTCCTTTCCCTTCTCTTTTCTTCAAACCACAGGACCCCAATCCTTCAGTGGATGTGAAATTCCGGCTGTTCGCGACTTCAGTTTTTTCTATAATTACTCGCGGAAGCCCAAAACGGTTGCCCTCCAACCTCACGACGGCGCAAAGACAGGGACTGAAGAATTGAGGGATCCAGCGAGAAGCACATTAGATGAGCGATTGTACACATACTCTTCTTTTGCAGTTACCAACGACCCTTCGCTGCTTTGAGAATGATGTTGTCTTTCGGGCAACATTTCTGCTTCACGACTCGAGCGAGTCAGTCGGGTGGCTTTTGACACTTTCGGACTGGAAGCCAGTCGACTCGACCGTGCGGCTGCTGATATAGAAATACGACTACCTTTCCTTCTGACAGTCACAGCATTTGAAGAAGCGTTCTGTTGGAAAAGAATACCTTTCAGATTCTTAGAGACGCAGCCGACTGCATTCACGTCATATAAGCAACACCTCAGGCCAGCGTTCGATTTACAACTGCAACTCTTTCACGAATTCAAGAAGTATGAAGTATTTCGCAATGGGTACGACACGAGTCTAACAGGACGATTGGAATGCGCGGAACTGCTATGATTTTATTTTTTGCACACCGAAATTGCTTCTTAGCAATCACAGTGGATGATAATGAGAGCTGGGTGCCTCAGCTCAGCCATGCACTCAAGCTCCACAGGATGAATTAAGGAGAACATTGTGTTGAGCATCAAAAGCGTTGTATTCAGGTACCGCAATATGCCTATACGCATTGCAGTACGCAAAGGGTGATTCACTTGCAAACC